GTTTGAAGTTGCTTGAACTTCTGTGGTTTCTCCACCCTCCTGGTTGCCACACCTTCCCCTCAGCATAACACCCTGTGCAAGAAGTTGGAGGATATGTGTGGCAGTAGGGAAGAGTGGGAGGAGACTGAGGACTGAGGAGTGAGCTGAGTGGTACTTCTGGTTGTGCAGCAGGGACTATCTACATGGGATAGCAAAGCAATCCATGAACGATGACATCTCAGGTTAGAGCCTCCTGGGGGATCGGCAGGAGTGTGGTACAGGACCCAGACTTTTACAGGATCTGACACCTCATTGTCAAGAGAGCAGCAAGAGTGCGTGGATGTGCACAGTAGGCATGGGTTGTGATTCGCAGAAAGGACTATCCAGCTGGCCCCTCTTCCCCCCAGGCACGGATTTCCAGACTAGCCCTCCCTTCCTCCTCGGGCTGAGAGTCGGGGAGGGGCTGGAGCTGGCAAAGGATGGCTTATCAGACACGTCCCTTCCAGAAGTTGCAGAAGGAAGGTGGAAATGCCACAGACCCCAGTGTGTGTCCCTTTTTGTCCCTCTGGGTGGCCTGCATGCTTAGATGTTCATTTGGCTGAAGCTACTAGTTTGGCATCAGGTCTGAGATGTTGGGGCAGCAGGAGTACTACCTGTGACACGAATGGGTTCCTGGAGAGATGCTTAAAATTTTTTTAGCACAGTTTTTGGTTTTTCTTGTTTGTTTGTTTATGGCTTTGCACTTGTTTGGTAGGCGATCTACCACTTGAGCCAGGTCTCCAGTCCCGCTCTGCCCAACATGGACTTTGATCCTTCTATTTAGGCTTGCCACTGTAGCTGGGATGACAGGTTCATGCCACCATACCCAAGTTTCTTCGATATTGAGATGGGGTCTCACAAACTTTTTACCCAGGTTGGCCTGAAACCCCACTCCTCCCCATCTCAGTATCTGCATAGAAGGATTATAGGCGTGAGCCACAGCACTCAGCTACAGCAGAATTCTCCAAATACTCTAATAAACACACACTTAATTTGCAAAACATGCCAGCGCAAAGGTACTGGGTGAGGTGGGGAGGGGGTTGGAGCCCCATCACCTGTTCCTCCCTTCCTTGTGGTAGACACAAAGTACCTCTAGAATCATCTATGGAACACAGTTTAAAAACCTGTTTGATCCACCCCACCCCCTTTTTGCTGATGAGACCCAGTCATCCTTGAGAGGATATGCCACAGGCTGGGCCACACAGCTGGTCCACAGAGCCAGGACTGGAACTCAGAGCTTCTGCCTTTCAGTCCAGGTTTACTTTCTACTCTCCCATGGCTGCTCTCTGAAGAAACTCTTTTCTTGTGTTTATGTCCTGGACAGAATGGAAATGAACTGCCTGCAATCATGAAGCCTGGCCCCACACAGGTGAGGCTCGTTTTCAAACAGGACATCAGCAGTCACTAAGAGAGGGGAGTGGGACAGAAACAGGCTTGTTTGCACAATTAACTCACTTGACTTTGGCAGGCCTGGTCTGGGTGAATCATCCTGTGACCCCAATGAAGCGCGAATTAAGGAGTGTTGCTTCGATTTCTGGCTGTGCAATCAAGAGACTGTGCTCATCTCCCAAGGACTCATTGCTACCTGGATACCACCACCTCACAGGGGAAAGGGGTGATGGGGACAGGGATCCGGGGAGACAGACAAGGCACCTTCCCCCTGCCTCTGTGCCCCATATTTCCTATCCACAGGATTGGGGAAGGAATGGCAGCTCTGGGACAAGGAGAGGGCAGAGCCAGAGGGTGAAAAACACTATATGGAAATCTTCAGAATAAAGTAAACAGTCACTGCTTCCTCCCCAAAAGAATCATTTCCCTTCTTCAATGCCGAAAGAGCTTCCCTGCTGACCCTCCTCCCAACTTTCCCACGCACATTCTCAGGAGAATTGTTGCCCCTCAGCTGGCGCCTGCCCATGACCCTCTCCCTATGCTTCCACTCAGAAGTGAGAGGTGAGAACACTGGTAGATTATGGGGGTGCAAGGGGGTGGGGGCTGCAGACATCCTCCATAGCAGGAACGCTACAGCTGTTCTCATGGGACACCTCACACAGCCAGCTGTGGGGAATGCCAAGCAAGCCAGAAAGTGAGACCAAACCTCAATGTCACAAGGGTGAGGCTCGGCCTGGTGCCGTGGAGCTGATATGCTAGGCTCTTTGGCAAGGCTGGTGTTACAGTGTGACCTCTGCGAAGCAGACAAAATAAAACTCTGAGCCCCAAATCCTTATGGAAAGAAAGGCTCCCCAAATCTTCTTGGTGTGATGACCATCGGCTATACAAATAATCTTTCCACATCTGTGCAGGCTACCGCCTGAGATTTACAACATGTGGATACCGTCTCTGTGGAACCCGTGCCATCTAAAGACACCGTGACTCTTAGCTTCCTGAGACAGAAGTCCAGTTCTGCAAGGGGTAACTGCTGCTAGGCTGGGCCCTAATCAGGCCCCACTAGCCACCTTGTACCTAGGGACGGAAGGACAAGAAGGAGTGTAGATGTCTGTTGCAGGAAGGAATTGGCTGAGTTCTCATCAGGGCCTCTGGCCTTAGGAGGCTTTCAGCAGGGATTTGGGAGAGGGGAGAGGGTGCTGGAGAAGCTTAGGAAGAGTATTCTCTCACCCCAGGCAAGCAGGACTGCATGGGCAGAGGTGGGTCAAGGCCAGCATCCTAAGACAGACCTTGAGGGGAAGAGGTTTTATAGATCCCAGCCAGCTACAGCTGGTTTCATCCTGCCCACTGGTTATTTATGCAGCACAGAGCCTTTCCTGGCCCACTCCTCTAGCTGCCCACCAGGGTATCGATTGCCCTAATGGAAAGCCTCTGCAGTGGCGGGCCTGGGCTGCCTTGTCCCCAAGCCTTCCTGTGGTTGCTAATTAGCTGAGGTTTAGGGAAGCTAGAGCCCATGGGGGCCCTGTTGGGAAGCAAGAGTGGGCTGAGCTGAGCATCACGCCTCCCCACCCCCATCCTCTGGTGTGTGTGTGTTGTGTTTCTAGAGCTGAGAGCATGGACAGAGGCCGAGAGTGGGCAGATGAGAGTTCGCTCTTTCCTGAGCCCCATGGGAGGGGGAATCTGTGCACAGTGGCATTCCAGAGGAAGGAAGAAGCTGAGGTGACAATCTTCAAAAATGGCTAGAACTCTTGACTTGGAGCTATATTTGCAGAGCACATTCTGACTTAGGTTGGTTTTGGGGTGGCCGTGGGGACCACTGATAGAGATTCTTTGGGCACCCCAAGTCCACTGCTAAGGCTCTGCAAGCTGCCCCCAGCTCCACCACTGTGTTTTTTTCTCCCTGACACTTCTTGCCCCCAAATCAACTGGGTGCAAGAATCTCATCTCCACTGTACCTCCAGTGGTAAAGGGGCTATGAGACCTACCCTGAAGGTCTCAGGTACCTAGCAGTTACTGGATGCAATCAGGTGAAAATTCCTGGCAAGAAAAGTCTTAGAAAACAAGACCCGGAGGAACACTTGAGACAGTAGCCAGCCCCGATGGAGATGATGGAGAGGGGAGAAATGGAGAAGAGCAAGAGAAGCATTGGCTGCCCGTAGCAGCTGAGGCTGAAGAGGGGCGGGGTTGTCCTGCTAATGGTGCCTGAGTCTCCAAGCAGCCTTCCCACCCCCCACTTGAGTGCCCTGGCTGCTCCTAGCCTTCAGGGGCTGCAGCTTAGGCAGTGGAGCCCTGAAAACCCCTAACAGTGATCTTAACGCTGACCAAGCCTCCAGTTAAACCACCAGAGAGAGATAAACTTATCTTTGGAGGAACTCAAGGGACCTGTGCCCCATTAAATCCCAGGAAGCAATGAAAGAACACAAAACCAGCTGTGTAAAATGTGAAACGCTGCCCATCGCTCCCATTTGTTCTGTGGTCTTTTAAAAATATTAAATTATTGATCAGAATTGAATCAGCCACTATCATCAGCACATGACCCATACTGGGAACATTTGAGGTCCCTCTGCTCAGGGCAGACTTAGGGTGTGGGATGGAGAAAGGGTGTGTGGATGCACCTCTATTTTCCCAGAAGGCTCGTCCCCCAGGGAGGGCCCGGGACAGGGACTGAGTTCTCCAGGCCACGCCAGCAGCAAATCTGTGAACTGAAGTTGGCTTGGCGGAGAAGAAAACTATTCACATGTTCCTAGCACCTGCAGACAGCACCGGGAGCTTCCTGCAAAGCCAGGGCCGTGAGCATCCCCTTCTCCGGATAACTCTCTGTCCCCTTTGTAAGTGCAACGTGGCTATTGAATCTGGGGAATCATCTCTGAACTGGGTAGTTGAAAGATGAGGTTAGGGCTGCTCTGGTTCTCCCCACCATCCTTCCAAACTGTCAGGGGTTTGGACAGGACCAGTCTACCCTCTCACCTACTCTGACTTCATCCCTCTGTTCCAGTGCCTCTACCTGCAGCGTTGGACTCTCTTCCATGCTACATATATGCATTTCAGGGGACAGTTGGAGGGGTTGCCAGCACCACTTCCCACAGACCGTCCAGGGCCCTCCTCCTTCTCCTGGCCTGAGCCTTTCCAAAGGGCCAGTGCTCAAATTGTGTGTAGAGGTTGACGGTGAGTGGACGGGAGAGGATGATGCTCCACCTCTGAACCTGCTCCTCTAGGCCTGGGTGAAGGGATGGAATTGACCGTGGAGGTCCCAGGAGGATATTTCTGGCTGGAGATAGGGCTTCTTCTGGGGCAGTCTGCCCCAACTTGACCCACTACAGCGCGATCTCCTCAGCCCACACCCAGCTTCCCTACTGGGCACTTAGTTCATTCCACAGATAATTCACAGGCCACCCCAGACTGATGGTCCCACCTTAGCAATCAAGGGCCTGGTTAAGATCCACATCTCCCAGGAGGAGCCTGAGCAGAGTGAAACGGGAGGAGGCCAAGGTCACAGGGAAGACACAGAGGCAGGAGGGTGACTGGAGGGGATGGGATGCGTCCCCAAGCCCCGGGCTCCCTCCCCAGAAGTCATGTGGGAGCAGCGGGGACGCACTCACCGCCGGGACCACTTGGCCGATGGCCTCCCAAAGGGCCGTTTCCACAGCACCCCGTAGAGCTGCACTTTGGTGCTGATGTCCAGCGCGTCCGAGTCCGTCTGCTCCAGGGACGGCGATGGCGACACCGAGTTGGACTTGGACGTGAACATCATGCCTCAGTGGGGCTGCCCGCGGCCGGGCCAGCAGGGACAAGAGGGCGGCGGGAAGCAGTGAGACTGCGATCGCAGGCGGCTCGGGACACCGTCGGAGTGCGTCCGATCGAGCGGAGACGCCGAGCGGGCCCGGCCCGAAGCCGCTGCATTAAAGCGTGCGGGGCACCAGGCGCTCCGCAGAGGGGTGCGGGGCGCGCAGCCGGCGGCGGGGACTAAGCTTGGGATTGCCGCAGGCCGGGAGGGAACTCCGCGGGGAGGGCAACTCGGCCACCTGCCCACAGCATCTTCCCCCTCCTCCATGACAGCCCCAATTCTGGTGGCCCCGATTGGCTGGGAGGGGCAGGTGAGCAGGCTGGAGGCCGGCAGGGAGCGCCAATCAGGGCGGGCGCGGGCTGGAGGGCCGGGCTCCGTGCTTCCGGAAGGTCCCGGCCGGTCCCTCCACCCGGGATTTGGCCACAGCACCTCCCCACCCCCACCCTGGACACCCAGTACTCCCCGGGTCCCCTCTCTCCCGTAGCGCCTACCAGGAAACTTAGGACGCGTCTGCTTTGTGATGAGCGGGTGTCACCCCGCAGATCCCCACTTGTCCCTAGGTAAGGGAGAGGAAGGAGCAAGGGCGTGGTGTCAGAACTGGGCTGGAGATTCCAGCTATCTTTACGTAGCTCCTTAAGCGGCAGGAGCCTTGGTTTTCTCTCTTATAAAGGGGAGTTGCCCCAAACCTCTAGGGACAAGCCGGTGGCTAGGTAAGACTTTGGTAGGTGCCCCCCACCCCCTACCTCGACAGGCTGTGCCATCTGACCCCTCCCCGCCCTCTCAGGTTTCACTTTGCGCCGCCGCAGCCTCGCCGAGATCGAATTTCTTTTCCTGGAACTTGGCTGTCGGTGCCTGCGTTTGGCACTCAGCGCCAATCTCTGTGCAGTGTGTTCGTGATTTATCTGCGCGCCTCGCCGGTGCTCCCTAGGGCTGCGTGCTAAATCCACTTCCGCTCCCCTCGGGGAAGGTATTTAGTGACCGTCTCACTTTCTGGGCAGACAGAAATCTGCCCAGGTCCTGGGGACGGCCTTCTTCTCAACAGGTGTACCGGCTAGGTGAGCTCGGCGGCTGCCCCACTCCAAAAGCGAGGAACTGAACTTGTGTCATAGGAGGCTACCCACCAGACCACAGCGCACTTTCCCTTTCCCAGGTTGAGGAACAGGAGCCGCTGCCCCTCTCTCATGGGGCAGCCATGATTCACCTGTGTCCTTGGGAAACCACTTTCCCCACTCAGGGTCTCTGATTCCTCAGAAGAAATAAAGAAGGCAGGTTGGAACTGAAACTTGCAATTGGTAGACTGACAGTCAAATCAGTTTACAGGTACACGTTATTATCTGGCTCCAAGTAAAAACCACTGAGGCATACTTAATATACCCTAAAATACACAAGTCTTTTTAAAAATGTACCTTCTTAACCTCTCACTTCTATCACTCTTAATCACCATTTTCACAGTATCTTAATTTTTTTTATATTTGAGTGTCTTTAAAGTGGTGTTCTTCACAGATCCCACCATCCCCTATCATCTAGACCTGCCTGGCTCCTCCTCCCTGCAGGCATTTGGGTTTGTGCCACTCTAATGCCTGGCCATTTTCTTGCTGTAGGAGTCCTGCTTTTCTAAGATGGATACTAAAAAACTTTCATTAGGGAGGAGTCTCTGGTGTGACCTTGCCTGTCAGAGGCACAGGGACGGGACTGAGTTGCAGGTGACAAGCATGAGGAAGCAGCATGCAGGGGTGGTAGCGAAGGCACCTGACTTGCTTTGGGTGACTGCTATGGCTACCAGGCCATACCTTCCCCCTCAGACCACTTCTGCAGCAGTTTTGGATATCATTCTGGAAGTTTAACCTCAGACCTTCCCAGTATTCTTTTAGTTAAATCCATTCCTTTTCTGCTAAATCAGGCCAACCAGTAACAGCTTTGCCCGCTTGTGGTGAAGACTAGTGGTGAGCTTGTGAACCGGGGCAGGAGGAGAGCAGGGTACCTGGAGTCATTTCAGGGCAAGGGCTGAGTGAGCCCAGAAAATCCCAATGGAAGAAATGGAGCACAGTTTTCTTCAATGGCAGAGAGAAACAATCTTTGGTCATTCCGTCTGTATACCAGACATCCAGACAGACCTCTGCCAACAGTGACTAAGGCTGTGTGGAAAAGAGGGAGGGCAACCTCTCTGGAGTCTGACCAAACACTAGATACTCCAGTGGCTTCTGTTCCCCATAACTAACAACCCAAATCACACCAGGTCAGCTGTGGGGACTTTTCTGCTTCCATTGTGTTCTCTGCCCAGTTGGTGGGAGTGCTGAATGCCCATCTGAAACTTCTCGGGGAGACAAAACAAGCTGGGGACCAATCCAGGGCCCCAGGCCAAGTGGGTCAGGGTTGCCCAGCATTATCAACAGCCAAGTGAGACCAGTTGGGGGAGAAACTCAGGATCCCTAAAAGTGTCCCCTCGTGCTTAGGTGTGGAGCTGATGTTACCAATGTGCTGTTTACAACTTACTGTTTCATCTAATTTTGACAATGGGCCAGGAGGTGCATAGCATGTTTACTTTCCCAGATGAGAGAAACCAAGTTTAAAGATATTCCCTCCCTAAGCAGACATTTCCTGCAACATGATAGGCCCACAAATACATGTGGAATGAGGGGGAGTGACAGGACAAGCCCTGGGATCTGAATCTAAGCCCAGACCTTTCCATCTCCAGCACCTGGCACTGTGAAGTATAGCACAGGCTGGGCAAATGCTAGAATACTGTCAGTCTTTCCTCTATCAGTAATTTCTCCACTGCCAACTCACCTAAGGCTGAGTTCCTGTGGACCAGAGACCACTGTACTTATCCTATAAAATTCCTGCCTCTCAGGTGTGCTCAGGGATGGCTCCTCCTAGTGAAGGTACATTTTCATAAGGTGTTTATTATCCATAGTCTTCAGGTTCTTGTGATAGTCACCATTGTTCCATGAAACAGGTATTAGCATGGCTGCTTTCCCTGGGGAGGAACTGTGAACCTAGCTGCTCTTATACTTAAGCTACAGTGAGTCAGACACAAGGCTCACTCACCTACTTGAGCCAGGAAGGGGCAGCAAATGGCAGAAAATGATTACAGGGGTCTTCTTGGAGTCACATCCTGACTAGGTAAAAAAACTCCCAGCAACCTGGACGTAGTGGCACTTCCTCAGCTCCTTGCCCCCTCTGTCCCTGCCTTCACACTCAGGTAGGCGGGCAGGCATGTCTTTTCCAATTGTTTACAGCTGGCACCAAGCAAAGGACCCAGGAGTGAGCTAGTCTGGCATCTCTGCCAGACTGGTGCCAGACAGTGCCAGTATCACATCAGTGTGACAGTTGCGTCCAGTCCAAGCATCCCTATAGGACCAGGAAGCAGAAGTGGCAGAAGGATCTGGGCTCCAGCAGACTCTAGTGCAATCAACTGTCTTCATGGAACCTCTTTTGATCCTCCAACCCTAAATTCCATTGCTCAGCTGCCACTCTGGATCCCACTAGGGTATGGCACCATTTCAGCTAAAATGACACTCCTTTTGGTTCCAGCAAACCTTTGCTCATTCCTCCATTCTAGCACATGTGGGCTTGGTTTGGAGGTTTTTCTCTGTGTTTGCTTCTTTTCCAGACATGAGCTCCTTGAGGATAGGCACAGCATGTAATAGGTGCTGGGCAAATGGTTTTAGTTCAGCAACAAAATGGAGACATGTCGGGCTCTCTGCTATAAAACGATATCTGACAATGAATGTGAAAGCCATCTTTCAGTGGAACACTTGTCACCTGCTTTGAGTGTTAAGTCCAGACTGTGCCATTATGTGTGAATGAAAGATAATTACTGGGCTTCTCTTGTCATTCTCAGATCCTCTCTCCTTGCACTCCCAACTTGATTCAAGTTCATCTCTTTCACTTTGACTCTGCAATACCCTTTCCTGATGACTCTCTCCACCTAGCAGGTTCCCCAAAGGATCAAGGCATACCCCTATCCTTTATTTGATCTTTTCAAGACCCAAAGCTGACCATGTGAGTCTGTTTCATACCTTGTGCTAGATCACTGTGGCTTTGACCCAGCTCCCTCTCCTGATCCCTTTCCACAGCCTGACCCCCTCACTTGTCTGGGCTCACTCCATTGCTCTCGCCAATACTCTCAGCCACACTGTTTCTGATATTGTGAGGCCACCATGCTCCTTTGTCCTTTGCTTTTCTTTTTCAAACCCTGCTTCATGACTCAGCTCAAATAAATCTTCATTTGTGATGTCTTTTCTGATGTCACCCCTTGCCTGGTGAGGATAAAACACTTAACTTTTTGTTGAAATCTGTCCCTTCTGTGGCTGGATTTCCTAAGGTCAGGATGGGCCTTAGTTTTCTTTACCTATACAGGGCTTAACTACCTCCCAGGGCAATGTGGGAGGGAGATCAGGTGGGATATAGGGCACCACATGCAGGTGCAAAATCAATAGGCCAAAGGACTGAGGAGTTAGGGGAGGCAAAGGAGAGTATGTGTGGGCACAGAAGACTGGCTGCCCTGTCTGGCGAGCAGGACCCCCTAAGGAAGGCTTGCTTGCCTGTGCCCCATTTGTGTTTTCTCTTCCTATAGATCTGTTCTCATTAGCAGGGTCAGCCTCTTGCTAGGCCTCTGCCCTCTCACTGCTCCACAATTACTCACACCCAGGTTGACCATGTCGTAAGTTTCTGGGGGGTGGCTGGAGCACCTTGCTGCCCTGCCAGCTTGCCAGCCACATTACAGCACTAACAGGGAATCTTGGTACCTCAGGACAGTGCTGGGGTAAGCACTGCTCAACACTTAAAATGCTCCCTTTCAAGGGTGATGTGTGGTGATATTAATTTGGCTTCTAGAGCAAGTTATATTTTATGTGTGTGTGGAATGCATTGAGTCTGGCCAATAAACCCTTAATACATGTACTGCTACAGTCTCACACACACACTCCCAGAACAACTCATGGGAGTTGGGGTGTTGGTCC